GACAAACGCACAAGGATTATGTGAATCGCACATGATCATGATAAGCTGATCGTGATAATCCGGATCACAGCCTATTTTCTTGACTGATAATACGTCGGTTCTTGCGGAATAAAATAAAATAAAATAAAATAAAATAAAATAAAATAAAAATAAAAATAAAAAAAGTTCGAAAAAAGTCTTCGCGGACATTGAGCAAATGTTTTTTTTTCTTTCTTTTTCCTTGCAAGCACGCATCTCGCTGCACGAATAAACGAAGAAAGTTTTCCGTGATACCTAAAATCTCGGGGATCAGCCATGCCACTATCAAAACCAAGCGATGCAGTAATTGTTATATCAAAAATTACGAGTGAGTTAAGGACGACACAGGTCTATAGCAAGTATCTTTAGTTATAAATTGTGATATAAATGTTCAGCAAAATTTCCTTTAGATATTACAATTTTTTTACGCAATTTATTATCATATAATATTCTAGTGATTATGTGTATGTTTGTCGTCTGCGCCGTGCTGATGATTCCTCCTCGATGTTACCCCTCCCCTCCCCCCATCCGGGTCTCTTCCTCCCCCATTCCCTCCCCATCTCGGGCGAATTACGCAAATCAAGGTGCGACAGGCAACACTCGCGATAGTCTTCAACTAGTGCACAAACAAATTGCAATGCAACGTGGTCCATCCCCCCTCTTCCTCACCCCGTTTGTAACGTAGAGGAAGAATCGTTCGCACGGGACAGAGCGTATAACGTTTGTAATTGGTATTATTGTAACTTGTCAAAAATATAGTGTTCAATTTAATTTGCCCTATTGTTGGTTTTCTTTGTGCAATCGAAGTAAACGCGTCGAATGTGCTTTCACAAGTTTCACATTCCGTAGGCATTTCACAGCAGGATTTTTGAGATTAATTCAGAAGCAATTTACCGGACGTCGGCCGAGACACTTGGTTTAATACTTTTTAGTATAGATTTGGAATTTTGCTTCAACACACACCCACGCACTATCGATATAATACATTTTTTTTATTTTCCCATGATAGCGAAAACCGATTATCATTCACTAATTACTAACAAATCGATACAATCAAACATTTGATTTTTAGATATAATAATGATCGAACGTATAACGATGGTACGTCATCAAGATGCTCCAAAATGCACGAGATAATTGATGAAACCAACAACGGGGACAGTATATAACTATTCAACTGTATGTTCTTCTTTGTTACACAATAATATTAGCTAATCATCCACTTTGTTACTCTCCTATTACTCTATTTTGTAGCTAAATTTGTTGCTTTCACAATAATTTACGTTCTTAATATATTTTTATATTTTTAATTGTGTTATTTAATCGTTATAGAAGTAAAATAATACAATATATCGTAATTGTTTGTAATATTCATATAATTCCTATTATTCAGGAATATCATTTCTAAACGTTCCGTTAAACGCAACGCGATCGTAACTTTCCTCCGATTGTACAAAAATGAAGAAGATCTCCTTTGAAATTTTTCCCGTATACAAAGAACTGTTTTGACTTGGATATGATCCCATTATTTGTAACATTGTTATCTTAAATACAAAATAGCGTGGAAGGAAGTTCGATCGCGGAATATCATTGAAAAGTTTGCATTCTTTATAAGTACCCTCTTCAACGATTTAGAAAACTACAACTAATGCGATTATTTGCCTCATCAATATTTGTAAACTCATAGATTAATTTCCAATAGCAATTGGGAATTTCTTTTTTATTTTTATCACATTGCTGAACTAGCCATGTAAAACCCGAGAAAGTAACGCACTATAATTATTTAGCATTTTCCTTCCGTTTAATTAATCTAACGTTTCTAAAATACAAATATAGTGCAGAAATATGCCGTATTAATACGTGATAAAGAGTATAAAGAAATATAAATTTCAATATAATTATAATTACATTTCCGTACTTATAAAGAATGCATCTTAAATAAACGCAAAAAATGCATTATTATAATATTTTAGATTTCTTAAATCCTAAATATAGTTCTTTGAAAATGGTGTTATGGTATATGCGGCCTCTAAGAAAATTAAAATGTCCCGTTTATTTATCAGAGATCCATCTCGTAATACAACGTAATCTTATCGAAGTCGAAAAATGGAGAAAAAAAAAAAGAGAAAATTTGAATATTAGAATATCCAGAATATTAAAAATGTTATGATAATCAAAAGAATGAACTGCCTATTTTTCTAAAATTGCTATTTATATCGATATTACAATTGAGATTGCAAAGCACATCAAAGAAAAGTTTACTTCGATCATTCTTATGTATCTCTTACTCTCTATTGTAGCGTATTTTTTAAAAACAGTACATTTTTAGACCATATATACCATAATATAGAGAAATTGTAATTTTCTTTTAAATAACGTCTATTATATTTTAATATTAATAATCTGTAATAAAAAACTGACATAATAAAAACATTCATTTATTTTTGGCCTCACTTTTTGACACTAAACTATGAAAATAATTGAAAAAGAAAGGAGAAAAAAAATAAACGAGAAAGCAAAAACAATAACAACTAGCGTTGTGAATATCGGAGAATTCTATAATTAAGTAAATGTCTGCTATAACGATACCCCTTTGTGATAAAGATAGTAAAAGAAAATTTCAATAATATTTCTCGAATGATTAATTCGTAATCTGTATAAACTATCGAATATTTTTACAAGTCGTGTAAAAGATCGCTAGATGTCTTTGTGCGGGGTATTAAACTTGAATTTGATAATTTCATAATTCTCGAAAAATTTTAATTATTTATATATAATATATATATTAAATAAAAGTAGTCTTTAAAATTGATTATTATAACATTTCATGTCTATATGAGGAAAAAATTTGATAATGCTGTCCTATCTATCCTATAATCGTTTATACTTAGGCAATATATATATATATATTTTTTTTTTTTCATCATTGAGTGTATAGTCATTTTTTTTATCATAGAGTTTTTTTTAACAACTACATCTTTAAAATGAATATACGCATAGAGCCGGGGTACATAGACGTGCCTTACACGTCCTAATCAGCATGCTTTTAGCATGCTACTGAACTGTATCACGTATGTCACGTATTTGACTTGTGTAATGCATTATATATTTATATTTGTATATATTTATGAGTTATTTTTTTTTTGATTAAATTGAAAAATCCTAAGTATCTCTAACATCCTTACATCTACAATTGTAAAAGCCTACAACACGAAATGAGGGTAATTGGTTCAGTAATCTAATTGAATAATTGATTGAAGATTAACTTCTTCGTTACTATCACACGCTATTTAATTTAAATGTCTCTCTAATAACTCCATCGCGCACAAATACTAGTATACAATTAAACATATTTAAGACTTGACGAATGGATTGTGTGGACAGAAAGTACGAAACAAGTCACGTTACAGAACAGAAAGAAAGCATATAAAATTGTTAAAAATATTGTAAACTTCGATATGTCCGAAGTGTCACATTTCCTAACAAATTATATCGATATAATCAAAGTGAACGTGACAAAAAGCAGAAAAATAGAAAAGAAAAATAGAAAAGAAAAGAACTAAGATGCAAATAAGATATAAATGTATAATATCTTTTATATAATAAAATTGTTTTAGCGCTATCTATTTCAATTGTTTTGTAAACTCCCATATTCGTTAACTATATGAGAAATCTTTGTTATTAGATATATAAAAACCTAGAAATTATATAATATATATGTATATATATATGTATATATATATATATATATATATATATATATATATATATATACTATATACACCTCTTATATATTTATATCTTTAATATTAGGTTCCCAACGAAAAATATAAAATTTGTTAATACTTATATTATTACATTCAGTACGAATCAATTGGAAAATCCTATTAAATATATAGATTTAAATATAGAATTATCATTTTTTCTGTGACATACGTTTCACAGTTCAACCATCAAGAAAAAAATCCTCTCCGTTATTTAATGCAAATGGGAGAAGACTTTTGTTGCGTTTATTAATATTATTAATTTTTTCTTTAAACAATTATATAGTTTTCGAGGTCCCGAAACTTTGTCCACAACTGCGATTATATTGTTCTCGCGCTAAATATTCTGTAATCCGCATATATTTGCGTTGTAAACGTTAAATGTGTATAGTTAACACCCTGCTAGATATTTATCTGAATTATGTATAAAACCTAAAAACATCTTTCTTTTTTTTTTAGGTTATCGGTAACGCGGATTTTCAAAGAGCGTTACATTTAAAAAATGTGATATTCGCTGAATATACATGTACACACACACACATAT